CAGCAGAATAACAATGTAATACTTCTGACCATAACAGCCTTTCTTTAAAAATATGTAAGAAATGTTAGTATAAACTGCTGTAAAAACAGAACTCCTTGAAGGCATGCAATTACTTCATAGAAATACATGTAAACACCAAAGAGAAGTCTCCTGGCAGTGGTTTGCTTTAGTGTGTGGCTCCACACGGATTGACAGAGGTCTGACAGCCCATGTTATAACCTGTCACCTGAACCTTGAACAGTGTCCCATCTGCACACATACAGAGCTTGAAACGCAGCCAGTTGCCGTTATTGAACTGTTCCCCGTAGGAAGAACTTGGCAGTCGTGATGGACTGACCATCACAGTTCCATTCAGGATAATGCTGTTTTCCTATAAAGGAGGAGAGAAAAAAAAATTACAGCTTCCAATTTAAACATGGCAGGTTATTTTTGAGAAGGACGAGCTGGTTTACCTAATAAATGACATCTTTAGGACAGTTGTAGAACCAACATAGTAAAAAAGGTATGTATGAAAAGGTTAAATTTTTTAATGGAAAATATAATAATACTCATGGATTTCTCAACTATGCAAAGCAACTCTGCTTTTCTCACATATTTCTCAACTATGCAAAGCAATGTACTTTGTTATTGCAGTGGTAGATCATTATTGAGACAGCAGAAGTGTGTTTTTTCACTTTACAGACCTGTTAGCAAATACAGTAAATCTAAAAATATGGATGGTAATCAGTGTTTGAATTCCTATAGGAAATTTGTTCACACTTGAAATGAAAGTGCATATAGCTCTATTTTTTAATCCTCCTTTAACCTTTTTCATCATTCCATATGCCCTGCAGTTTCCAAAAGCCTTAAAGGAAAGCCAGTGAGTCTTGCTGTGGCAGCACAGAAGGTAGTGTTTCTAACTGTCAAAGGTTACTGACTGCCAAAAAGCTTCCAGAAGAGAAAATTAATTCCCTTTGGTATTTGTTCCAGGGCAGAGGCTAAAAGCTTGGCTTTAATTGCATTGTGGGTTTTTTGTGTCTTAACAGTAGTAAATCACTGTAACCTGAAAACTACTGAACCACTACTTAACAGCAAAGTAATAAACCTCCTATTTAAATCCTGCCAGCTATACTAAACTTTTATGCATGACTACTTAATATAAAATCTGAAACATTATAAAGCTACATCAGTTTACTATCAGCCTGAATGTGAAACTAAACTATTCAAAAAATGCTGACTTGAAATACTTACTGCTTTCAGTTCCATGTTACCACCCATTCGAAACTCAATGGTCTTGCCTGTAATGAAAACACCTTCATTTCCACGGACAATAGCACGGCCATCGACCTTTATGTTTAGATCACTGGTCGCATTGCTGGTAATCTAAAAACGTAACATACATAAAAAAGTGGATTACAGATCAATGAAAACGTGTCACTTGTATTTGGCTGAGTAACTTAATTACCTTAAAAGTATTGCTACACAATTAAATAAAAAACGTCAATGTACTTCTTGCCCTTCTGCCATTATGCCTGCAAACCTTCTGCCTATTTGTTATTTTCCACATTCACATTTAAAACCAAGATTACTTAATGTTGGAAGGCATGTAAAATAGTTTATTTTTGTGATAAAAATAACAATTCATATGACAATTTCATGGGATACACAGCTAACACTAGTAGCTAATACACGCTTCCTTTTAGAATTGATTATGTAAACTTACCCCTCTGTTTTCACTTAATCTGCTCCTTCTTTGTATTTATAGGGTTGGGGTTTTTTTTTCTGGAACAGGGCTGCCCAATGCTTCCTAAGGCACACTTAACCCACTATAAAATAACTAGTGCTACTCTACTGGTACACAAACAAACTACGCACTGTATTCTCATTAATTATAAAAAGTAAGTTAAGAGAGACGTACCCTCTCTGTAGACGCCTTTTGTACATTCAAGATTTTAACCCCATTTGGCAGATGAAACTCATGTGTTTCATAGTCCGTGCTGAACAAGGTATTTTGTGTCCGTGGGTCAACAAATTCCATCCCAATATCACTGGTTATAGAAGTTTTGTCTTTTTCCACACTAAGCTTGGTTGTTCCTTGCTGAAATACAATCTTCAGAAACAAAGTCATTAGGTTAATAAAGTTTCAAATACAACATTTATTAGTAAGGTAAGTGTAATTCTCTAGTGTTGCTCGTAGACTTTCAATTCGTGGTATAACTTACAGGCTGATTATTCCCAGTGATCACCAAATCTTCGTTCCGTCTCCCTCCCACAGTGCTTTTATACAAGGGATGTATAACACCCATGTCAGACACTTGCTTAAACCGCAACAAGCCACTCTCATGGAATTCCATACTGTCACAACCATTGGGACCGATTCGAATCACTGCCCAGATAACCAGGGTAATCTGAAAGAGAAACACATTTTAAAAGATTAAATTGTTTGTATCTTCTCACATGAAGTATGGTATTAACTAAATGTTTTATCTGAAACAATTATTAATCCTAGTGTTGAAGTGAGCTTTAGGTGTGAATTTACTTTAGTCTGTTTAATTCCATCATAACACATTTAATTATGAAAGGCATTTTACATTAATTTTAGACTTATCTGGAACAGTAACTGAAATGATTTATATATATATGAAAATATTAAATCTATAATTATATCTTTTTTCTGTTCAAGGGTAATCATGGTAGTATGGGCTAAGGAAATTTCCTGAACAGCTCAGCTCAGTACATACTTAACCCTGAACTAGAATAATACACCCTCCCAGGTGCTCATCCAGTTACAAAACTTCTCCTTGACCAAGCAATAAAGAGGTGGTGATTACAACAGTGAAGCTTCAGAGTGCAGTGGCTGGTTAATTCTGAACGCTCACGTGCAGCTCTGTTACGTAAAATGTTCCTGACATATATCCTGACTGCATTTGCACTAATAACACTTTGCATGGAGTGACACTTTGAAGGTTCCTGATTCTTGCTTGCATAAACAGTAAGTTCCTTGCTGGGATCTTGGTAACTGAATTTACATGATTCTTCCATCTAATCTTGTTCAGGCTACAAAAGAACAAGAAAGAAAGGAGAAAAATGGGAATCTCCTTCAGTACATTTTAAGTCCTCAGCCATACTAGAAAAGTTTTATTTCTCTAACAAACCATCACAATGAAATATGATCTAATGTTGCTTACGGTGTAAGTATTATACTCACAATCAGATTGATGACGGCCAAAATAAAAAGAACAACAATCACACATATGGCCAAATTGCCTTTCCTGCCACGTAACCCTGTCTTATGGAGACGGTCTTCATCGATGGGAATGTATCCTGCTTTGAAGTTGCTGTTGTGCTCCTTATTAACATTCCTGCGTTCCACAGCCTTCTCTCGCATAGACTTCTTCACCGGGCCATTAGAACTTTGCTGTAACACAAAGCATGGATTAGCTTTAAAAGGCGTGTAAATTCACCAAAATGACGCACGTATACATATGCAAAAAATTATAAATCTGAATTGACTAGTGTAACACATTAGATGTTAGATTCAATATTAGATTTCAGTGTGCCACTCTGTACTTAGCATACATGCTTAGAACCACAGCAATCTCTGCTAACACAATGATTAAGTTTAAAATCCAGGTATTTTCAGACAATATATGGTTTTATATCCCATTTTTATCATGGCAGATAGAAATTATTAATGACATTGCTGCAGTAAAAAAACCCAAAGCAGCTGTAAAGAACTTCATCAAGTTTTTGCCTCTCAGGGAAGATAGAGGAGATAATCCTGCAGGTCATTTGCCAATATACAGGATTTGAGCTCCCTTCATGCTCACATGTGATAGACTCTCAGTCTATTCAAAAGGAGTATGTATGGTGAATACAGCTTTTAAGTTAGTTTGATAGCACAGGGCTTGCACTGAACTTACACTGCTTGCATTGAGAAAAAAACTGTGAGGCCTCAAACCTGGCATGGGAAACTTGGCCTGCCTAACCAAACTTAACAATCTTAAGTTACCAGTTTGCAAAGAATGTCCTGTTAATGTAACACAGTAATGGAAAAAATTCTGGTAGATATTCCTGGATAAAATAAACCTTTGATGTTTTTTTGTAGCTGTCCAAAATTTTGTTCCACCTCTCTTGAACTGAACAGAGTGCAATTTAAGGACTCAAACCTTCACAGAAGGGACTTGATCTTTATGATGTTATTTTGTTCACCTCACGTGAATCCCTACGTTTACCGCACTTGCTCGTCTCTATATTGATGTAAAGGCTAAAAACATCTTGTTTTCTTCTGTTGCCGAAGCACAAAGAAAGGGTGCTGAAGAAGGTGCTTGACCTGGGCAAGTGTATGGAGGGTTCTCTGGGCGATGTTCCGGACCCGCTCCGACGCTGCACGAACCGCACGGCCCCACCGCCGCCTCCCGCCCCGCTCCCGAGAGCCAAGCGCCTCAGAAATGCCACGCGCTTCATTCCCAAGGCACAGAGTATTTTTGTTAGTCACAGACCCGCGCCTACGGCCAGCACGGCGCCGCTCCGACCGCCCCGCCCGGGCCCTGCATGGCCGAGCCCGTCCTGCCCCGGGGAGCCCCGGGCACGGGCCGGGAGCGCCCCAAGCGCCATCGACCCTCCCCGGCCCGGGCAGGCGGCGGGGCCGGCGGGCTCCGGCACCGCACCAGCCTCACACCCGCCGTGAAAATGGCGCCCCCGCCAGAGCGCCCCGTGCGCGACCAGCGCCCCCCGGCCGGGCCGGCCGCTCCCCGTTCCCCGCTCGCCCCGCCGGGACGGCGCCGCCGCCTCCCCGGGCCGAGTCCCAGCGCTGACGGACCTGCTCGGGGGCGGCCGCCGCCATCTTCCCCGCCGCCACCACCGCTGCCGCCGCGGAGGGGCCGCGGGCGCCCCCTGGTGCCGCGGTGCGGGCGGTCCCCGCGGCCCGTGCCCTCAGGCGTTACCCGGCGGCGCCGCCCGGCGGCCGCGGGCCGGTCCCGCTCCACGGGCCCCCCCCCCGCCCGCAGCGTTGCCGAGACACCGCCGCCGCCACGGGCCGGCCCGCGCGTCACCACCGCGGCTGCCGCGGCCCAGCACAGGGCACAGTGTCCGGGCCGGCTGTAACATCTTCGTTCCACCCGCGCCGCCCGAGGAGCGGCTCCCGGAGGGACAGAGGAATCAGCGCAACACGTCCCGCACCATCCCCGGGAGCGAGCTGACCGCTGGCCATGGCCGAGGGCTTAAGAGATCTGGTGGGCACGGGCAGCGCCCGGGAGCTGCAGGAGAAACTGGAGAGCTGGCAGCAGGACTATGAGGTGGGTGCTGCCGCTCCTCGGGGCCGGGTTCCCGCGGTGACGGCGGGACGCGGAGCAGCCGCCGCTCGGTGTCCCAGAGGCTGGTTTGGGAATGCTGCCCCGCACGCGCACACGGTTATCGCGGTTCCAACACCTTTTAAGCACTTCCAGCTTCACCTGTTTGGCTTTTTCACCGTGTCAAGGCTCCCTGAAAGCAAGAGTTGGAGGTTAAAAAGGAGGTTTGAGCGGCACTGGCTGTGTCTGGAGCAGAGCTGAGCGTTACGGTGGAGACCAGGAGCTGGAAGGAGCGCGGGTCAGGGTGTGTGAAAAAGCTATCGCTCGTAGCCCGGGAACAGTCAGGAGAACGTGAGGAAAAAGGGTGCTGAAAGTGCGAACGAGTTATCCAGCATCCAGCTCTTCTGAGTGGGAAACCTGTTAGAGCTAAGAGGCTGCTGCAAGACAGCACGGCTGCCGAAGGGCTTCTGTAGGGGGGAATGGGGTGGGAGGGAAGAGTTTCGGGTGTGGGTGAGAAGGCTGCAGGTGGCTCCTGCACGGAGGAGTAAGCGGTGACGGGGCACTGAGGAGGTGCAACAGTAGAAGCAGTAGAGAAGGTGTAAACTTAGGGAAAGATGAGTTGAAGGAACCTGAGACTTCACAACTGTGACTTTTCTCAGTGGAAAAAATTTTTGACAGAGGTCTCACTCGTGCATCCCTAGGTTTCATTAGCTTCAGGAGGCGGATAGTTGATTTGGCCATGAGCCTGTAACCACCTTCTGTGTACTATGGTTGGTAAGAAAAGGTGCTGAGCAGAGATGCAGCTTTTTCAAGGGAAATCAATTTTTGTTTGTTTTTTTACTTTGTGGTAGGTAGGAGTTGCAGCATGTTAATAGCCAGGGTAACTCTCTGCGGGATTCGTGGCAAAAAACAATTTTAAGTATTTTGAGAGTAGCTGGTGAAGGTACCACAGAGAATGCCAGAGGAGGAAGAGCAGTGGCATGAGTTTTATAATCTTGCAAATGGATGGTGCAGGTAGACCTCGGGAGGGCTGAGCAGTAGTGGGAACTGAATTCTCTGTGATAAGTGAGTTGCGGGTAGTCTCTGAGGTCTTGGGCAATGAACATGAACAGTTTCAGGCTGCTGGTGCAGAAAAAGAGGAGGTGGCAGATGGAAGCACCATGGGTGTTATGTCGCTGTAATGAGCTGGAAAAATGCACTTTGCAGCCGTGTTCTGGTAGAGGTGAGCAGGTTGACTGTGCTCCCTGAGGCCAGAGGAAAGCATGTTGCAGCAATCAAAATGCAAGCTGACAGGGGAATGAGTGGGAATTTCAGCTGTTTTGGAAGCTTGTAAAAACCATATGGAGTCATTAGAGCCTGAAAACCTACAGGGTGATCTATGTGGAAGGTGATACGCAGGTTACAGATAAAGATTAAGGAAGCAGGTACGAAGTATGTGTTCTCCTGGCAGGTGCAGTAGTATCCTACTGCTTTTCAAAATTGCATTTGCGGAAAGTGGTGTCATTTTGCTGTTTCCTAGGTGTAGTTTTGGACTTTCCCCCTTCTTCAGTGGTATTTGTTTCAGTTTCTAACTCTTAAAAATCAGATGAAATTGCATGGAGGCCTCGTGACTGCTGACAAAACAAGAGAATGGCCTTATATGTATTATTTTAGCTAATATGGAAAACCAGATTTTAGACTAATATGTTTTATTTTTCATCCACCACAATTCTTATGATTCTTCTTTTTAGAGGCATTTGTGGTTGCAACTTCTTTATGAATGGGGAAGGAAGTAAGTTTTCTCAAGCAGTGGATTAACTGGGTGATAGAAGTCCTGATGTCTTGTTTGTTTGCTTGTTAACAATGTGAACCTTAAAATATGAGAAAAAGGTTGTGAAAATGTAATTATAAGAGAAAAAATGTCATGATCATAACAGGAATAACTTGAAGTAAGAAAACCCACATAGATGTAGTAAAACACATTAATTTACAGGTTAATTCCTCTGGTGAGAATCTGAACCGATGCTGTGAAATATTAGAACTGAACACTGCGATTCAAAAACAACTCTTCACAATTCTCAATGAAACATCTCGAGAAGGTAAATCAGTGCCTTGTTTAATTACTAACACTTTTCACATGTGACATTTTTTCCAACTCTGGGTCTTTCTGTAAGTATTCTCACAATTTCTTAATGTATGTATTTTCTTAGATGGTAATAGTGAAGGTGCGGAAACAATAAAAAACCGTCTCCTGCCACAGCTAGGGACTTGCTATTACTGTTCTACTTCAGGAAAGACCTTTGAGAACAACCTCACTGTCACTCAGGTATGTAAGAAATTTATTTTAAGGGAATAGAACCATGTGATTTTATACCTGCAGAAGAACTTTAATGACTTTCGTTAATAATAACCTTCCTACCAGATTTTGCTTAATGTCACACGTTCTTAGTTGCTCGTGGAGACACCTATGGAGAGTAAAGATTTGCTGTGTTTACATATGCAGAGACATCATAGAAACATTTATGCCATATCCGTATTAGAAAAACCTGACACTATGTGGAAATACACATATAAACTGAAGGTGTGCATCAACTCCATACAGTAGTCTGTGAACTCCCTTTATTTTTTTTGAAGAAAAAGGTCTTGGACTATCTTAACATTATTTCCAGAAGGGTTAAATAAAAAGTGCTCATGTCTATCATGATACCACCGTGTTCCTGCCGTGATATTTGGAGTTAGTATGTATGTGATATTTAGTGAAAGGATTGTAGAACTAATAGTTTGGCAGAAAAGATGGATCTGTTGTGGTTTTCTGCTTTGAAAGAAAATAGGAACATTGGCTAACGTAGACTGTGGGAAAATACTCAGAATCCTGAGATTTGACAGTGATGTCTCCATGTTTTCTAATTTCTCATTTTTATACCCTCTCTGTCAAAATATTTAACAATTAAAATAAGGACAAATGAAAAGTGATATCCCTTTAGAGTCAGATTCTAGTATAATGCAGGAGCAGGATTCTACCAAACCCCCACAAAATATAAAATAATGATGTTATTAAATGACAGTACACCAGGTGTACCAGTTACAGATTTGTCATTGCATGTGACATTCAAAATCTAAAGAAGAGCCTGCTACACAGTTACTTATTTAATTCCAGTAGAATCAGGCAACTTTACAGATTGTTAAAGACAGAACTGCATGTGTAGTTGTGTGCTTTCTGGAATGACAATACTTACCTCCTCTGTTCTAATAACTTTTTCTGTTACTTTGTGTACACGAATTACCAAAAAGTTTACTTGAGTTGATGTTATAACCAATCAGAAGTTGACTAACTGTGCAACACATCTGCAAAATACTTTATTCTGATGATGTGTATACAAGCAGTAAACCTGCATATGCAGACCTTCCAGAAGTTCTATCGTGAGGTATAAAAGAAGTGAATATTTTTCTTAACATAGATGAGCTTCTGTTTGGTGTGCCTGGAAGGCATTGCTTATGTCTCTAGAAGGCACGCGATTGCTTTTGTTCTCAGTGTCTTTAGAGATGGTCATTACTGAAATCTTTAGAAATACATCTGCTAATAATGCCCTGGTATGTTGCTGAGGGATTCTGTAAGGTAGTACATTCAAACAGTGGGACTTGGTGTTTCCTAGTAGGATTCGGTTGGGAGTGAGATGCAGCTGAAAGAACTGGACACCACCCCTGAGACTTGTCCACTGAAAGACCTGGAGGAAAAACTGACTTCAACTCGTCTGCAGATCAACCAGATGGAACAAGAGTAGGGAAATTAAATGCAATTCTTTTTGGTTGCTTTTTGTTTTTCAACAAACCACATTTTTCTCTTGACATCTAAATACTGATGGAAATTTGTAAAATGTTTCATGTCTGACTTAAAATCAGAGCTTCAAAATGTATCTAGGCTCTGTATTGTGGATATATGTATCCAGAGTGGGCTACAAGTGATAGTCATACACACATTTATAAATTGACTTGATAGGGTTTGATAAGTGACTGGGACTGAACTGTTTTTGCCTAATTGCATAAAACATACTTTGTGGAGCACTACAGTCTCAAAATGATTAAATTGTTTCAGATACAAATCTGTGTGGTTAATGCCAGTTCAGGGCCATTTTAGAGATAGCTCCAAGTGGCAGACATACATTCTTGTGCATCCTATTAGCATGAGAACAATGAATGTTCACAGGTCTTGGGTCAGCACAGTAAGTGATGTAATTTCATGTTCTTATGAAGTGTTTCCAAGAATATCAGTTTGAATTTTCCCCATACCTACCTTTAGAACTCATCTTTCCAAATCTACTTTTCTTTCTGAGTTGTTCTTTATAGTAGAATTCTTTAGCCCTCTTTTTACTAGTACTCAGCTAGAAGTCCTTCCTGAAGGAGCTGACTAAGGATGTCCATGGGATTGGACAGTCTTTCCTCTTAGCTCTTTGTTACTGTGGTCCTCTCGGTCAGCCTGCTCCTTAAAAAGCCAGAAGAGGAAGCTTGCTGGCTGATAAGTGTTACAGCTTTCATTGGTTCAGGTCCTCAAAAATCTCACCAGGATCCTTCAGTAAAGAAAGGGACAGACTGAATAACTTCAAAGTAAATAGAAAGCACCTTTCCACCCCACACCTCACTTTTGCAAAGAGAAAACAACAGTAATACCTGTATTGGGAGGGAAAGCAGAGAGGTTGAGATACTTTTTAATACTAAGTAAGAGTAAAGGACAGAAGGTAAACTTGCTTATCTGGTTGTCTGCCGGTGTTTAAGAAACACTACTTCTCTTGGGGCCAGCAGGAGAGGAATCATTAGGGAATGATCTCCTGTAACACAGAGTGTAGTGTGTCCACTCTCTGCTACAGTATACTTTTACGTTTTTAAGAGTCTGCTTTGGAGTATGCTTTTTGAACTCTTGATTTTTCCTCTATTTCAGCAGAAGGAGTTTGCTCAAAAATTTTCCTCTTTTTCTTCTCCTTTTGTTTGATGGTGAGGATTAATTGACAGATGGTTTACATTGGTAGAAGGACATCTTGTGACTGACTTTATTCTGTGTGATTAAGCCTGAGCACTTCCCGTGCCGAAGAGGAGGATGCCCTGAAGAAGTTGGAGCGTCTGAATGACTATGAGCAGCAAATTCAAATGCTGCGGGATGAGATTACTATCCTGGATGCCCAAAAGTCTGTTCTCCAGAGCAGGTAGAGGTGTTATTAGACAAGTCACTGGATTATAGAAATTGTTCTTGTTACGTAGCATAAACTCCCTCCTCATTTGAAACTGAAATATAAACAAAAGCTAAACTTTTACACTTTTTTATGAGGAAACAAAAACTCTGGCTGATTGCTCCTAGTGCCCAAATATTTGAATTTAAGACAGTTAAGTTTTAGACAAAGCTGCAAATAATGCGGCTTTAAAAAAATACGTTGACAGCAACTGTATGGAATAAAAAGAAATGGTTAGGGTTTTTTTGTTGATGAGTCCTCTTTGAACACTGTACCTTTACAGAGCAGAACTTGTTATATTCTTACTTGTTTGACTTCAAAGTACAGAAAGAGGAAGAAATCTCCAATATATTAGTGGTTAGAAGTGTGTTTCCCCAGAACAAAGTGCTTGTCTGTACACACTTTAGGAAATACTTTAGTTTTACTGTTTGTACTTTAGCCCATAAAATGTATCGACACAAATGCCTTCATATTAGACTAAACAGCTGCAGCTTCTCTAATTGCATTGGCTCAAAATCTTAGTTCACCTTGATAAAAATTAAATATGATGCAAAATTCTGCACAGGGGAAAAACGTCTGAGGATGGTGAAGTGACCTCAAGCTTCTTCCCATGTCTGTTGTAGGCTCGCACGGAGCCGCTCTCCTTACAGGCGCAGCGGGGCCAGGTCACAGCGTTCCCTTCGCCCCAAGAGCTGGTCACCCGGCCGAGCCAGGCACATCAACGCTTCCCGTCGCGCCTGCCTGGTGGCTCGCTTTGGTTTCATTTACGCTCAGGAACGCTTCGACGCAGAGACCCTCTTGAGGACTTACATCAGTGACATGGAGATGGTGCAGAGGATAATATACACCGCAGCTGTGGTAAGAAAGAAATAATATTTCTTATTTTACAGACCTGAAATGTTTTATAAAATATTACATGTACACTGGACTAAATTGGGGATAAATCAGCATTTTTAGTACATTCAAGTACAGGGAAGAAAACTTTTCATCCTTTTTTCTTGTTGATTTTTCTTTCTTCCCCTCACACTTCTACATTGAACTCCTGATTTAGTGTCTTGACTGACCTGTCCCAAGACTGGAACAGAGTCAGTGATCTATAGTACAGATACTAAAAGGAGTGTATAAGAAGACTGAATGGCTCTGAAAAGTAGCTGATTCCTGCACTGATCAACATTGCCATATTTAGGTGAATTCTTTTGGGAATACTACATTATATACCACAACACTACAAAGATAACAATCTTTCCATAGCATGCTTCCCTCTTGCCTTAGCTATGTGCTTTTCTAGTTTTGTTGGATCCCTTGAAACTACCTACATACCTCATATTTACTATGAGCTCAGTCTGAAGAAATTACTTTTCGTATTTTTCTGTACTTAATCTTCCTTTCTATAAAAATGACCTATTACATACCTGAGTCAGAGAGACAGTGTGTCTCTTAATGTGTGTGATCCCAAGCACATTTAACTTATTGAAGGTTTTTTCCAACTGTCATTCAGTTTACCTTTTTTTGTGACAAACAAGAAGTGCTCCTGTCTAATGTGTTAGGCTATGGCATGTAAAATGCTATTGCTCTTGATATCTTTGAATGTCGTTGTATTGATCATGAGTGTGTGGTGGAATCCTGTGCAAATATAGATGGTTAGACAGGAATCTTTTCAATCCTGTCTTCTGCAAAGAAGTTACACTCAGTCAGAGAATTCCTTCCAGATGAGTTAACTTTTGCTTTTTACAGCAATGTTTTTTATTCCTCCTTATGATGATGATATTGGCTTAAGTTGATTTTCTCAGATAACTGATAAAAAATTAATTTCAGTCTCCTAGATTTGACTAGATGTTCTTTATGTTTGCAGGAATCTTTTTATGCAGCAAAGATGGCCTACTGGAAGTTCAAAATACATGTAAAAGAGGCTCTATCTCTAGGTCACTCGGGGCCTGAGTCACTTGAAGATGCTGTGCTAGATTATATAGTTTGCCACAAGGACGAGTATGATGTTTATGCCAGTGTCAAGGTAGGTCAAAGACAGTTTTGAAGTGACATGTTGATCTATTTCAGGAGCTGTTAAATTCAGAATGAGTAAACTAGAAATGCACTGTAACCTGAAGAAGAAAAAACATTATCCTATGGACTTTGTCTCATAGCAGTGTACTTTCCAAAATAATATTGCTAGGACTGGTATAAGTATGGGCTAGTAATTGCTTGTTTTATTTGTCTGTGACTAGAATTTCTCTGTCTGCAAGAATAATATTTTTGGGAAAATACAGTGTAACTGTCTTAATGAAATAAATGTGAGGTAAATTTCACATTTTTCTTGAATTTTGTTTTCTACTGAAAAGCTACATCTCCTTCCTAAGATTTATGCCAATAATGTAGCTGATATTTTATTTCTAAAATAACAGTACATTCTTTCTAAAGCTATTATTTTCTGGAATAGTCTAAGGCAACATTACTGTGAGGTTCTGATACTAATTTTTAAATGTAGAAAGCTGAGAGGCATATTTAGGAAGGGTTTCCATACTTTCCTGTGAATAAAATTGTTAGTGAGTGAAAATTACTCAAATATGTTTTTCAGGAAGTAATTCGCTCCATGAACATCAACCCAAAGATTTCATTTCCACCAGAAATCGATTTCATTGTACTCAGCACTTTGATTCAGGAGTTGTGCTGTTTGGCTTTTTCAATGCAGACACTCGTTCCTCCTCTTGATGTTGCCTTCGGTATTGATGGAGAACTTTTCAATGAGAGCAAGTAAGAACTCTTAAAATTCAGTCAGATTCTTACAATTAAAGAGATCCACCAGGTTGTATAGTCTACTTGTTCCCTAATTAATATAAAGGTTCAAGATTGATAAACATCAATTTTGGTCAAATATTGCTCATCTGTAGTTAATTTGGTATGTTGTTAAGGTTTTATGATAGTGTATAACAGTTTGTTTTTTTTAATGAACAGCAGAGTGATTTTGTGGATAAACTTCATTCTCTAGAGCATATTTAATTTATCATTTAAGAGGAAAATTATTATCAGCTTTCCTTTCCCTGTTTAGTCTCTACCTGCCTTTTAACAAATGTTTGTATCTTTGTTCCTCCTTTCTGACCTATCGTGTAAAAGTCATCTGGCAATTGGTATCTGCTACCAGGATCATCAGTGTGCTTGCTGCGACCTCTAGGCTGTGGCTCCTGTTCAGCATATGAATACTAATATGCTCCTATCTCTTCTGGTTTAGAGCTGAGCAGAAAGAAGAATGACTTTTAAAAAAGGGAATTTAATTTAAAAAAAATCACACCATAACACTGTTTTTTCTATAGAGTCAGGGCTGGCTGCTTTGTTAGCTGCTAGGGGACTGTAGGGTGCTTCCATGCCTTCTAGAAAATTATTGGGACTTACAGCTCAAAAAAACCCCCAAACCTCTCAAAAGCAAAAAACCACCTGGATCAATAAAGAAGTCTCTAATAGTAATTTAAAATAGATTGGAACACAAGTGAGGAAGTGCTTGAGAAGCCAATGAAAGAAATAGAGAAGATGAAAGTAGCCTTTCAACAGGAAAGTGCAAAGTCATACAGGACTGCTTAATGATCCTCCTGTCCGAATACTGGGCAGTTAGCTATACTCAAATACTGGGCAGTTAGTTATACCCAAAGCTATTGGCTGAATTAAGGAGGCAACAACGCTATGATATAGTCTGGGAATGCTTTCTCCACCTACTTGCTGTGTGTGGCCTTCAAAAAACAAATGTAATGTGTTTTTATGTGCTGCTGCAGGAGACACATACGCTTGTCTATCCATCTATCCAGATAAATGTGGCATATGTATGTTTACATGTATAGTGCGTATACGTGGTACACAGAGATGGAGCAAAACTTGTAGAAATTAAGATATCTATGTGTGATACCATTCTATAAAGGGCCGCCCAAACCTCATCATACCCTATACCTTACTTCATGCCTATGTTAACAATATTGTTTTATATACCTTGCTGTTGTAATACATTACTGAAGTGTAGATGCATTGCGATTTTTTACTTCTGTTATTTGGTATTTGTTTTGAGTTTGAATCCACAAAGCCAGAGACGTCATTATTTAGCCAATATTCCAGACTTATTGAGGTAACAATAAGATATGGTACTGGTATGTTAACATAGGCCTTTGAATTAATTTTTCTTAGCTAAAATGTCACAGTTTTGTTGTCAATATCTGAGGATTTTGCTAATAAAATTGCCTCATGTCTCATAAGATACTAAGATGTACCTTTATAGTTGAGATAGAATATTTCTATAATATCCTTTATAGGGGTCTTGTTTTAGCAAGATATTTCAGGAAGATGGGATGACTATGCCTGCCAAATTGCTGCTCAGAAGATTTGATATGTCAGTGGACACAGGGGCCCCGGCTTGTATTTGGCTTATGCAAAAATATGATCTTACTGGTCTTCTGAAGTGTGAGATGGCTTTATTGGAGTGCCTGTCAGTACAAGTAAACAGTAGGTCCTGCTAAATATGTCCTACAACTGCATTTCCTTTACAGGATCACTTAAAGAATACATATTTTTGAGAGATGGAAAAATTGTCAAGGAAGATATCAGAGCTGTAGCTAGAATTCTGCTTTTTATCAGCATTTATGATTTGAAACATATTTATCTTTTGGCACTTCTATGCAGACATTTCTTGTACTCTGTGTTTCAACAGGTACTATCGTAGTCCTGACTCAGATTTCACAGCTGCCTTTGTGGCCTATCACGTATGGCCTGCTCTGGTGGAAGATGGTGTCGTAATTGTGAAGGGAGAGGTAGTCACTAAAAGAGTGTCTCTGGTACGTATTTTCTTAAGGATTATGTTAAGGGAAGTCATTGGGTTTCAGCACTGTTTTTAAAATTTAAAAAGATAAGTTCTTAACTGTTCCCTGTGTGGGTGGAGTTGTATGTCCAGTATCAGTTAGGTTTTAGTGCCTCATCCTGTATTTAGGATGACTAGTTCCATTTTCCTTAATGTATTAATTATGCAGATGTGTGATTGTTGGCAGACCCTGTTCTAAGGAGAATGTTTGCAGTGTTTCCTCTCTGTCCTCAAGCCTTTTCTCCAGCATGGCAAGTCTTCTTGCAGAGTCTGTCTTTATTAAACCCTCTCTCTCTAAAGAGATTTGTCAAACTCTTCTCTTGTAGTGCTTCCGCAGAAGTAAAATTAGAAGCAGAAGCTGCAGCTGTAGCACCCGCCGTCTTCTGTCTAGTCACGTAAGCCTCAGCTTGAATGCTTATAGTATTAACAACATCAAGTATTTTAACTAGGAATGTAGGCAACCTATTAAAAATGCTGATGTGCCACATGTACATTTTAACATTGGGAATAAATGCCTTTGCTTGAAGGTCTTGAATGAGGTGAAGCTGAACTGACAGGTAGTTATTGCCTGGTACAGTGACCAGTGGAGATACACAGTTGATAATTCTGAGAATTTAACTATGATCTACTTCTCATACAGTATCTCATAATGATTCGCTCCTACTTCCCCTTGCGTCAGTACCCTTCAGAATAACTAACTGCATCGTTTGGAAATGTTTTAGTCATCTTGCAATACATATACAGCACATAGTTTGTGCCTCCTGGAATTAGTAACCTGAATTTACTCTCTAATATCGCAGTGGAAGAGAAAATAACTGTAGGGTGAGCAGGAGGGAAATAACTGAGGTGGTACTGATATGTGAAACCTTAGCAGAGTTCTGTGTATGGTATAGTTACACAACATTTTTAATTGTTTCTGTAAAAAACACATATTTTTGTAATTGTTATCCCGTCTTATTAAATTGCCAGGGGTGCCCTCAACTTAAAATGTGAATATTGAAAATCTGGGAGGCTTTGGATATGGCTCACTTTTTTGTGCATGTGTGGGGTGTGAAAAAACTAGAAAGTAGTTGAACTTGACTTCGTAGCAGCGGAGCTGCACTGATAGACATGTGCAAATTTTCTGAATGTTGATGGGTCCCCAGGTGGTTTTCTTTGATGCAGTTTTTTAGCACACCTGAGTGTCCTTTCTGTTTGTCTTGCAGTCGTTTCGAAGCCGCAGTTTTTCACCACTGAGGAGCAGAAGTAAGTGGGCATATTAGTTCATAGTGACTCATGGCTTTCACACTAAGTCTTTGAATGATTAAGCAAAGAGACAAAATAACATGCTGAAGGTCTTTTAAATACTTGTCCAAGCCTTATTTTTAAAATGGATAGTCCCTTTCTTTTGTGTGTGTGGAAAAAGGCTGAAATTTCTGACTTAGAGGAGGACTACTAAGACCACTGTCATGAGTTCTCTCTGCTGGTTGCCTTCACTGTGGCCAGTTCTATAGTAAGTAAAACTTGCTGCCTTCCCTACACAAGAGACAGCTTGACACCTGCTGGCTCCATGCCTTTCAAATTCCAAAGAGATAGCTAAGTGGTGACAGTGAGGTGAGGGATTTCAGACAGTATGAATGTGTGCCTATCTTGAAGCCAAGCCAATTTAGAGATTTAGAAAATATAGTTGTACTGAAATGTACCTTTTTCTTCCATAGGGTGTTGTTAACTAAATATGTTCCTGTGGTTCAGTACATCTGGATTGAACAACTTCACTGGTGCCTATTCTCTTCAGGAATACCTCAAATCTCTCAATAATATGAATGGCAATTGTCACTTCAAATGGAGTTTGTGTTCAGTGTGTTTTTTAGAATTATAGAAGGCTTATATGTAATTTGAGAAACTAATTTGACCCTTCCAATTAAAAAAAAAGGGGCATGCAATACAGTATCATGATCATTTGGCAAAATTTGCAAAACACTGAGGAACCCATGATGTAATCCTGCAGGTAGAGATTGAATTATTGCATCTGGAATGTTGTCCACAGATTCCAAATGATGCAGTTTACCTTGATAACTTTGATTAAACTTGATGTTTAATATAACCTAAATGGCGAATGTTGTAGAATGTTGAGGTTAGCTGTTACTTAAAAACAAGGTAATTATTTGGTGCTTCTTTACAATTTTAGAAAACAGCAATAACCTAAGGATGTGCAGGTCTCACACAGCAGCCTTTTAAATATGTCCTTTGCATTTTCTAACTACAATGCCAAAGTTGCACAGAACAGTTGTGGGAAGGTCTCTGGGGGTAAAAATTAGAGGAAACTAAGTAGTTATATTCACATCCTAACAGAAGTTACAATGGTACAGAAATTGTAGGGTAAAACGCAGCTGCTACTCCCTGGGTGGAATGTGGTCAACATGCTCCACGGTAACTCTCTGTACAACAATAAGTACCTGCTACGAGGGATGGAACAGAGGGTGGAGCGGAGTGGAGATGCCATGGCCTCCCTCCATGGAAATCCTTGTGGAGAGAGGAACATGGCAGTACTTTGTAGCTGATAGGACCGCATAGCACCTGTCAACCAGGGAGATAAAAGGAGAGGTCCTGCTGCTGAGCCAACCCCTGTGGTGAAATCTCTCTCCCTGGATGAAGTTGTTTCATTAAAGCATAATTGTAATATTAATACACACCTCCATGCCAAAGTTATCCACCTCCAAGGTATGACTACTCCACCCTGGGCATGCACCCTCTATTTTTTTGACTGTATCTTTAAAAGCAAAGCTTTTAAAGTCACTCAAGCTCCACCTAAACATAAGGAAATAGTATAAAAGTCAGTTGAGAATGGGGAGAAAATCAGGGAAGACTCCACTGTGATTGCTGAGATCAGTCAATGGGCTGAACCTGTCTTCTCCCCCTGTTGGGATGCCTTTGGGTAAGAGCTATACATGTGCTGAATACTTTTATTTGGATTAGAGCTTGCTTGTGTATTGCATTAAATACATTTTCCAGTCAGATATTATCACTGGCAATCTTCAAACCTTAACCTGTCACAATTTTGTGTTAATAAAAGGTGTTATTCTGTAAGCTGTTAGAATGGCTCCTTCACGGGCACTGACAGTTGCCAGCAGCAGGTAACACATTCAAATAAAGTGAGAAGACCCACTGAGGGGACTCCCTTATGCTATTGGCTTAGATCCCTGAAAAGCACAGTCAAATCACCCTCTGATCCAGTGGGACAGTTTGCTGAAGGGTCCCCATAACAGGATGCTGACAGATTGATTTGGCACAAGGATCTCAGCTTTCCTGGGGTGCTGACAGACAGATCATTAGGGGTTGAGGAAATCTCCTGTTTTCATGAGACAGCAGTCATAAACTACCAATAGTTCACCAATCCCCAGGACTTTATTGACATATATGAATGTGTGCATGCTTTAGCAAGGCAGTAACAATTCTTGTGTCCATTATTTCTTAGAAATGAATATAATAAAAAAATACAGTTTGGCACTAAAAGTGTATCTAAAGTGTTCCACAGAGTAGTTGTAGGCTTGAAATATTTGCCTGAGGCCTCTTCAGTATCACACTTATTGCACTTTGATGCCATGCTGATAGATTAGTCATTGTTGAACATTCAGTGAAAAAATCCTGTCCAGTTATCTCTTACTGTGGGCATTTATTAAACTTCAATTGTAAATATTAGACCTGAAGAGATTTGAGTGATAAGATGCAGGATGACATGCCATCCCACTCATACTAGTTAGATGTCCGAGCCACCAAGAGATGCCCAGGACCTGGAGAGAATGTACAGGTCAGCAGGAGAACACTTGAAGGACACCACCAAGTGATTTTATAGTGGGTGTCTGCTACAGGCCACCTGAGCAGGAAGACCAAGCCGATGAAGCCCGCTTCAGACAGGCAGGAGCAGCCTTGTGCTGCCAAGCCCTGGTCCTGGAACTGCAGTGACCATGACAGGATAGAGTTTGAGATCCTTGGGGCAACAAGAAGGGTCAGAAGCAATCTCACTACCCTGTGCTTCAGAAGAGCAAACTTTGGTCTCTTCAAGGATCTTCTTGGTAGAGTACTGTGGGATATAGCCCTGGAGGGAAGAGGAGTCCAAGAGAGCTGGATGATAGTCAAGGATTGTCTCCTCCATGCTCCAAAGCAATGCATCCCTACAAAGAGGAAACTGGGTAAGAACGCCAGGAGACCTGCATGGATGAACAAGTTGCTCCTGGACAAACTTAAACAAGTAACTTACAAAGGATGGAAGCAGGTAAAGGTAACCCAGGATGAATACAGAGCAATTGTCCCGAGAGGCAGTGATCTGATTAGGAAAGCTAAAGCCAAAGCTAAACCAACTGGCAGAAGTAAATCTGGCCAAGGACATAATGGATAAGAAGAAAAGCTCCTTTAGGTGCATCAGTTATGAAAGAAAGACTAGGGAAAAATGTGGGTCCTCTCAGGAAGGACACAGAAGACCTAGTTGCCCAGGGCATGGAGAAGATTGAGGTATTCAATGACTTCTTTGCCTCAGTCTTCATCAGTAAGTGCTCCAGCCACATTGCCAAAGTTAGTGAAGGTGAAAGCAGGGATTGGCATAATGAAGAACTGCCTGCTGTAGGAGAAGAATGGGTTTGAGAACATCTAAGGAACCTGATGGTCCACAAGTCCATGAGACCTGGTGAGATACATCTACGGGAACTGGCTGAGGATATGGCTAAACCACTATCCACTGTATTTGAGAAGTCATGGCAGTCCAATGAAGTTGCCACTGACTGGGAAAGAGGAAGCATAACCCCCATTTAAAAAAAAGGGAAATTAAGACCTGGGAAACTACGGCCTGGTCAGTCTCACCTCAGTGCCTAGCAAGATCATGGAGCAAATCCTCCTGGAAACTATGCTAAAGGACATGGAAAATAATGAGGTGATTGGTGACAGCCAACATGACTTCACTAAAGGCATATCACGCCTGAGAAATCTGGTGGCCTTCTACAATGGGATTACATCAGTGGTGGATGAGGGAAGGGCAACAGATGTCATCTACCTGGACTTGTGCAAAGCATTTGACACTGTTCTGCATGGCATCCTTGTCTCTAAACTGGAGAGACATGGATTTGATGGATAGACTTATCAGTAACAAAAATTTGACTGGATTGTTGCACTCAGATTTGCGGTCAATAGCTCAATGTCCATGGGGAGACCAGTGATGAGTGGTGTTCCTTGAGGGTTGGTATTGGAACTGGCACTTCTTAGTATCTCTGTGACATGGACAAGTGGGGTTGAGTGACGCTCAGCAAGTTTGCCAATGACACCAAGCTGTGTGGTGCAGTTGACAGGCTGGAGGGAAAGGATGCCATTCAGAGAGACCTTGACAGGCTTGAAAAGTGGGCCTCTGTGAACCTCTGGAAGTTCAACAAGACAAAGTCCAAAGTTCTGCACCTGCACTGGGGCAATCCCCAGCACAAATGCAGGCTGGATGGAGAATGGATCAAGACTAACCCTGAGGAGAAGGACTTGGGGGTGTTTGTGTACCAAAAGCTCAGTATGACTCAGCAATGCACTTGCAGTGTTATATTGAAAAAAAGAAAACAAACCGCATCCTGGGCTGCATCAAAAGAAGCATGACCAGTAGGTTGAGTGAGGTGATTTTCCCCCTCTACTCTACTCTTGAGACCCCACTTGGAGTACTGCGTCCAGCTCTGGGGACCCCACCACAAGAAGGACATTGACATGTTGTAAGGAGTCCAGAGGAGGGCCACCAAGATGATCAAAGGGCTGCAGCACCTCTTCTGTGAAGACAAGCTGAGAGAGCTGGTGTTGTTCAGCCTGGAGAAGAGAAGGAAGGCTCTGGGGAGAACTCATTGTGGCCTTTCAGTACCTAAAGGGAGCCTTCAAGAGAGCTGGAGAGGGACTTTTTATAAGGACAGTAAAGGTATGACAAAGTAAAATGGCCTTAAGCTGAAGGAGGATAGGTTTAGATTAGATTTTAGGAAGAACGTTCTTTCCTGTGAGGGTGGTGAGGCACTGAAACAGGTTGTTTAGAGAAGTTGTTGACACCCTATCCCTGGAAATGTTTAAGACCGGGTTGGATGGAGCTCTGAGCAACCTGGTCTGACGGAAGATGTCCCTGCTAATGGCAGGGGCATTGGAATGAGATGATCTTTAAGGTCCCTCCCAACCTAAATCACTCTGTGATTCTGTGATTTTATTCTGGCACTTTAAATAGTTTGTTTCCATTGTAAATGTTTGTTTTAATATCAGTATTTTTGTTTTTGAGAGAACTGATAACGTCTTTCTCTCAGAACCTGATCTGTAGGACCAGCCTTAAGTAGAAACCCCACAAGCAACTTCTTGGGAGCTTGCGTTTTTACACAGAAACATAGGATTTCCCATATGCTGATATGTAATTCACCAACTCCACTGTCTCATTCCAGTGAGATACTTCAAAGGTACGTACAGCTTTCCCAGATTCATCTCCACAATTTTGGAATATAAAGAGGAAAAGTTCCTTTCTGCATCCATTTATTCAGACTATGCCCTGGAACAGGACATCTCATTCGTACTACTGTAATAATATGAGAAAAAATATTTTTATTAGTTCTGACACTATTTAGTCCTTGAAATGAAGTTACAGGAGCAGATTTTGTGATCCCTTTCTAGGGATCTTATGCAGATTTACACATTCATACACTTCCTCGCTACTTGTGTGGCTTAAAATTTTGGCATAAGGCTCTTTGGCACAGGAAAAGATTTCAGACAGACTGTAGCATTGGTTCCCATGAGTTGACTCCAGTTCTACAGATGTATTTTCATTGGAATTAGGCCCATTAGTAACCAACAAGGACAAACCTGTGCATAGGGAGTTACTCACAGACCTACTCTGACTGAACTAAGGGAGCACAATGGCACCCGCACATATGTGATGTACTTTGTTGTTATCTAAGAGTCACAAGAGAAAATAAAAATCAATATATTTCCTCTTCTAAGAGTCTATCAGTCACAGCCATGGATCTTGAAATAAACCTCCATATTTCAGCACTGATCTCATGACTAAAACCACCCCAGTTCTGGAAAAACTGAGCAACTGCAACTTGTGTGGTAACAGAAGACAGTTAGATATCCCAAGTATGGTTTTGAACAAAAAATGGAAGATTTTCTCAAAACCTTGTAATTACCAAGGGCCAAAGAGATGTAGTTTAAAAACAAATAGGGTGTATATTTGTCTTCTGCATATAATTACCAAGACTTGTCTGTGTTATGGAAAACCTGTTTCCATACCAACCGTGAGAAAGCTCAGGCTACACGAAGGGTGTATGTTTTTCTTGACAAGCATGAGAGGCAGGGTATTTCAAGATTTGCACACACTGGTGATGCCACTAGGAACTAGTATTCTGAAAGATCTAAAATTACTGTAATACAAATTCACAGTGTTTGGTGGACCATCTCATCTTACTCCCCCAGCAAGTGCCTGGAGAACGAGTTAGTCTCATAGGAAAAGAGAAAACCAATGAAACCACAGCCATGACTTGTTTTGGTAGCGAGAAAACAGCACTAGGATGATTTTTTTCATAATGTTTCAAAGCAGAGCAAACCAGTTTTCAGAAAAATAAAAACTCAGTCCACAGCATGGTAACAGTTAAACAAACCTTACTCCTCTCAGTTGTACTCTACAGCCCATAGTCTGTTTTTTTTTTGCAATATACTGTTTTGTACTGGTTGCCTGCACTGCTTATTTATAGCCAATTAAATCTATAGGTCAGATAGAAGATTGCTTTTTGTGTCAAATTAGACACTAACAGCTCCTGTGCTGCTTTTTATTCTCAGCAGTGTAGAGAATGCATACTAATAAAGATTATATGGCATTAACCTGAAAATGCAAAGTAACTTAGAAAAAGGGACTTCTGCAGTTGCTTGTAAGACCCTATAAAAGAACGGATCATGAATGTGAAATCTGTGACTTGCTATTTTGTCTTAAGATTTTTCTTCCCCTCTAAATCACGAGCCTGGATAATGCCATACTTGTAAATACAGCAAAGTAGAAATAATAAGGGTGAATTCTAATAGATGTCAAAAAGCCAGTAAGACTTCTACTACAAAATAGTTTTAGAACAGTATGATCATAGTGAAAGTGTTAATACCAGGAAAAAGAAGGCTAGATTTTGAGCCAATTTAAACTCTTTGCAGATTGTACTGGCAGAAGTGAGACTGCATGGATGTAAAAAAGCACTACCTTTGGGCTAAGGTGTTAATGTAGAACATGTTTGTGAGAGATTTTGAGATTGCTGGAGAATTTCTCCTGCATGTCAGCCCTCTGAAGGCTGATGTTGTCTGTCTCAATTCAAAGCTGTCCCAGAGTCAGTGTAAACATGTGGATATTTAACACCCATTTCAGGGAAAATACAATGTAATCAAAATATCTTCAGTCTTTGCTCTTCAATGTTTGCAGCTCAAACATTGTGCAGAGCTAGCAGATAATGAGGATAAATGCTCAGCTAAATTTGCTACTGCACAGTGAAGATTTAAGTTCAGAAATTGTCTTGACTAGATTCTCCCAGCATAGGAGACAAAGTTGAGAGCAGCAGGGTGGTGGATTCCTCCCACCTAATCTCACTGGCACTGAGCTGTGATGCTGTTTCAGTCTTGTAGGAGGCTTTGGAGATGA